ACAAGAAGCGTATTGAACTTTCAGTTGACCCGAGACAGACAAACGCCGGGCTCTCAAAATCGGATCTGGAGGTCAATACTGCCATTCAAGCTTCGGTTGTCAGTGTGGAAGACCATGGTCTGGTGATGGACCTAGGTATTGAGGGCGCAGACGTTAAGGGCTTCATGTCTAAGAAGGAGATCGACCCCAAGACAGACTATTCGAGCATCAAAGAAGGATCGGTTTTCCTTTGTATGGTCACTGGCCAAAACGCCAACGGAAGCGTTGTCAAACTATCCGCCAACCTTCAGTCTGCCGGATCTGTCAAGAAATCTCATTATCTCAGCACGGCATCGACAATCAACTCATTCCTTCCTGGTACTGCAGCAGAAATCTTGTTGACGGAGGTTTCTTCTAGCGGATTGATCGGTAAGATCATGGGTATGTTGGATGCCACAGTGGACTTGGTACAGTCTGGTGGCAACTCTGGAAAAGACGACTTGACAAAGAAGTTCCAGATCGGTGCGAAAATCAAGGGACGTATTGTCTGCACCTTCCCAGCTTCTGAGCCATTTAAAGTCGGCTTTTCAATACTCGACCATGTGTTGAAGTTTGCAACTGAGGGTCATGGACCTGGCACCTCTGAGGATGCACCGGCAATTTCCGCAATCATACCTGAAACCAAAGTCGTCATGGTTGATCCTGGAATGGGTGTTTATGTGCAGATGGGCTCTACGAAATACATGGGCTTTGTCCATGTCTCCCGATTAGCAGACGGAAAAGTTGAACACATTGCACCTGAACACGGTCCCTTCCGAATTGATTCCGTCCATGAGGCTAGGGTTGTCGGCTACAGTGCTTTTGATGGCCTCTATCTGCTCTCCTTTGAGAGAAAGGTCATTGAGCAGCCCTTCTTACGTCTGGAGGATGTGACTGTGGGTGCTGTGGTCAAGGGGAGGATTGGAAAGCTGTTGATTGGGCCGGCCGGGGTTGACGGACTGATTGTGACCTTGGCGGACGGTATCACCGGTCTTGTTCCCTCCATGCACTTCGCAGACACAGCCCTTCAATTCCCTGAGAAGAAGTTCCGGGAAGGCATGACGATCACTGCTCGAATCTTGTCGGTCAACCTTCAGAAGCGTCAGATTCGCCTAACTCTGAAGAAGAGTCTGCTCAACAGCGAATCTGCCATCTGGAAGGATTACCAAGACATCGTCCCAGGCTCTCAGTCTCCCGGTACGATTGTAAACATTCAACCCCATGGCGCTGTTGTTCAATTCTACGGCTCAGTTCGCGGTTTCCTTCCTGTGTCGGAGATGAGCGAAGCTTACATCAAAGATCCTTCGCAACACTTCAGACAAGGGCAAGTGGTTAACGTTCACGCTTTGAGTGTGGATCCATCTCTTGGTAAACTGGCAGTTTCGTGCAAAGACCCCTCGACCTTCACCGAGACCTATAAGAAGGCGTTCGAGAAGATCCAGCCCGGGCTGCTTGTCACAGGGACGGTGTTCGAGAAGTCTGTCGACGATGTCCTTCTCAAGTTGGACGAGTTCGGTCTTATTGCTCGGTTAGATCTGGCGCATGTGGTGGACGGTTCTGAATCCAAGCAGATCTCTGCCCTTTCAAAGATTCGTGTTGGCCAGAAGCTCAATGATCTTCTTGTACTTGACATCCAGAGAGCCCGCAGACTCATCAAAGTCTCAGCTAGAGCGAGTCTCAAGAAAGCAGCCAAGCAAGGATCCCTCCCGGCCAAGTTTGAGGATATACAAGAAGGCGCTGAAGTGACTGGTTTTGTCCGAAACATCACATCCGACGGTCTGTTTATCGAGTTCCTCGGTGGCATTACTGGATTGGTGCCTAAGAGGCTCATAGCGGACGAGAACGCCAGTAAACCTGATTATGGCATGGTCAAATCGCAGCTTGTTACTGCAACTGTGCACTCCATTGACACTGACTTCCAAAGATTCATACTGAGCATGAAGCCTTCGGAAGCAACCTCAGCTGGTCCAAAGAAAGCCACTCCCAAGCCTGCTCCTTCGAACGATGCGGTCAGCAATGCTGTGGATGAAGGCATCGCGTCGATGTCCGATTTCACCTTTGGCAGGACCGTGAAGTGTAAGGTCGTGTCTGTGAAGGCAACCCAAGTGAACGTTCAACTTGCGGACAATATTCAGGGTCGCATTGACGTCTCCGAGGTCTTCGACAAGTGGGAAGACATCAAGGACCGCAAACAACCGTTGCGATTCTTCCGTCCCAAGCAAATCATCTCAGCTAGGATCTTGGGTATCCATGATGCCCGCAGCCACAAATTCCTTCCAATCAGTCACCGCTCTGGGAAGTTCCCCGTTTTTGAACTTTCTATTAAGCCAAGTTTCCTGCAGGCCGCCAATCCTTCCCCGTTGAACTTGGAGCAAGTCCAGGTTGGCTCAACCTGGGTCGGTTTCATCAACAACGTTGCCGACGATTGTCTTTGGATCAACCTCTCACCCAATGTTCGCGGACGGCTACGGTTCATGGACGCTTCAGATGACCTATCTCTTTTTGCCGACGTGGACAAGCACTTCCCGATCGGCTCAGCGCTGAAGGTCCATGTCGCTGCCGTCGACACCGAAAAGGGTCGCCTAGATCTTACTGCCAAGCAACGCTCTAGCAAGCTGTCGTTTGAGGACATCTCTGTTGGCATGATTCTTCCCGGACGAGTCACGAAGGTCACCGAGAAGCAGGTTATCATGCAGCTCACCGACACGGTTGTGGGTGCCGTCAATCTGATTGATTTGGCCGATGACTACTCGAAGGCAAACCCTACTGTCTACCACAAGAACGATGTGCTCCGTGCTTGCGTGGTTGGTGTTGACAAAGCCAACAAGAAGATTTCCCTGTCTCTCCGCCCTTCGAAAGTTCTGAGTTCCTCACTTCCGGTCCAGGATCCCGAAATCACTTCTATGAAGCAACTCAAGGTCAATGACGTGGTTCGAGGATTTGTCAAGAGAGTGGCTGATAGCGGTCTCTTTGTAACTCTGGGCCACGATGTCACGGCCTACGTTCGCGTCTCTGACCTGTCAGACTCCTACCTCAAGGAATGGAAGGACTCTTTCCAAGTCGACCAGTTGGTCAAGGGACGGGTGACTGTTGTTGATCCCGAGCAAGGTAGATTGCAGATGAGTCTCAAGGAATCTGTCTTGGATCCGGACTTCAAGGCCCCTATCACGATGCATGATCTCAAAGTCGGTCAGGTCGTCACTGGCAAAGTTCGCAAAGTGGAGGAATTCGGCGCCTTCATTGTCATCGATCGATCCGCCAATATTAGCGGTCTATGCCATCGTAGTGAGATGGCTGACAAGCGAGTTGACGATGCCCGCACCTTGTACGAGGAAGGCGACGTTGTCAAAGCCAAGATCATCAAGATCGACCGTGAGTCAGGGAAGATCTCATTCAGCTTGAAGGCTTCCCACTTCAAGGATCATGATGAGGAAGATGAAAGTGGCAGTGACGAGGATGGTGACTCCGACGGCGTCAGCCTAGATGGTATGGGCGGTGTCGACGTAGAAGGTAGTGATGATTCCGAGGACGATGACGATGACGAATCTATGGGAGGTGTTGATCTTGAGGGAGACAGCGAGAGTGATGGTGAGGAGAGCGATGAGGATGTGGAGATGGCCAGCGCACCTGTTAAAAGAGACGGGGGCCTCGGCGCAACAGGCTTTGACTGGAGTGGAAACGTCAAGGACGATGAGGAAGAAGCGATGCAGTCTGATTCCGATGATGAAGACAACTCTCGGAAGAAGAAAAAGAAGAGCCGCAAGCCTGAGATCCAGGTGGATCGGACCGGCGAATTGGACGCCAACGGGCCACAGTCAGTGGCCGACTACGAACGTCTCCTGCTCGGTGAGCCTGACTCTTCGCTTCTCTGGCTCAAGTACATGGCTTTCCAGTTGGAGCTCGGCGAAGTCGAGAAGGCCAAGGAAATCGCCGAACGCGCCCTTCGCACCATTAGCATCGGTCAGGACACCGAGAAGTTGAACATTTGGGTGGCTCTGCTCAACTTGGAGAACACATACGGCAATGATGACAGTCTCGACGAGGTGTTCAGGCGCGCCTGCCAGTACAACGATACGCAGGAGATCTACGACCGCATAACGAGCATTTACATCCAGTCAGGAAAGAATGAAGTGAGTCACCCTTAATACCAGTCACCAGGAGATGTTTCAAGTATGCGAATGCTGACTCAAATGACCTTACAGAAAGCGGATGAGCTCTTCCAGACGGCTCTCAAGAAGAAGATCTCTAACACGCCCAAGTTCTTCCTGAACTACGCCAGCTTCTTGTTTGATAGCATGGCGGCGCCCGATCGTGCTCGTGCTCTGCTTCCTCGCGCACTCCAGTCTCTGCCCTCTCATACGCATGTGGAGCTTACCTCTAAATTCGGTCAGCTGGAGTTCCGCTCGCCCAACGGAGACGTCGAGCGTGGCCGAACTGTGTTTGAGGGCCTGCTCTCCTCGTTCCCCAAGCGGGTTGACCTGTGGAACGTACTCTTGGACTTGGAAATCAAGAATGGCGATGCGGAACAGGTCCGGCGGCTTTTCGAGCGTGTACTTGGTGTCCGTGACGCTAAGAAGGGTGCTGCTACTGCTGCCCCCATGGACGCTAGCAAGAAGCTCCGTCCCAAGCAGGCCAAGTTCTTCTTCAAGAAGTGGCTGTCTTTTGAGGAGAAGCTGGCAGCTGCTAATGGCGGTGATGAGAAGATGGTGGAGGAGATCAAGGCCAAGGCGGCGGATTATGTCAAGTCTTTGCAGAACGCATGAGCATTGCAGATAATTGTGTAAAGAGTTGGTTTGGTTTTGTTCTCATTGGGTGTTATGGGGTCATAGATGCATTGTATATACAAAAGCATTCGGAAGCCATGTCTTCTCGTCAATATGCATAAAGACTTTTTTGTGTATGTGATGCGCAAAATAAATCATTCTTCTTTATCGATGGTATAAACAAGCCTCAAAAGGGTATTATATCTCAAGAGCCACAAATCAACGTCGCTTTTCAGCCATCAACCGCCGGTACTCCTCCACGATAGTCCTCCGCTCGCTTGCCAGCTCCTCTCTCCGTCTCAAACTTCCCACGGCAGCGGGAACGTTCGCGACATCGACTCGGGCGCCTCCGCGGACCTTGAAAACCTCCTTCGGCTTCGTTAATTGCGGCGGCGCCTGAACCACATCAAAGGGGTTCGCCGGCTTGTTCATCCGATCCCGTTTCTTCAGCTTCGCCCACGGATCCGGACCATCATCCTCCAGGGCGCCATCGCCCTTCTTCTTTCTCTTCGCGGCAGCGCCCTTCTTCTTCGCCTTGGCCTGCGCAGCCTCCATCTCCCACTCCTTCCACAACTCCAATTGTTCCTCCAACTCGGCCTCCCGCTCCTCCCGCTCGGCCGCCTCACGCTCCTTGATCTCCGCTTCCTCCTTCCGCCACTGCTCCTGTAGTCGACGAAGGTGCTTCTCGTGCTTCGTCTGCCGTCCCTCGCGCAGCTTAGGCAGATCCGCCGACGTCGGCTTGCCCGATCTCTTCATTCCCGATATGGGCATCTCGCGATCAACCCGCGCCGCAAAGTCTGACAATTTCTCCCCCGGCAGAATCTTCAGATTGGTGGGCTTAGGTTCCGCAGCAGCGGTTGTAGATGTCGCGTCATTCGCAGCCTCAATCGGAGTCGACGACGCAGCTGACTTCTTCCGCGCCGACTTCTTTGTGTCCTCACTTGCATCGCGCTTGCGCTTCTTGCTTCCTGTCTCGCCGGCGTCGGGTTTGGATGGTGCTGACTTGCCGCCGTTGGCTTGGAGCTGCATCAGCCGGCGGAAGGCGCGCGGGGTATCATCGTCCAAGTCGGATTTGCTGCGGGCAAAGGCCGAGAGGTTTTCTTTCTTTTTCGGGGCTTTGGACTTGAGGGGGGGCTTTTTGCCTTTGGATTTCGGGGCGTTGGGATCGTGGGTCGGGAGAGGTTTGGCGATCAGAGTGGGTGGGAGGTCGTAGATGCTTGTGATGCGATCAGCGGATGTACATAATATTAATTGTGCTTTGATAGTATACTCACCTCGAGTCATTTTTTCTTCTCTTGTGCTTGTGAGGCATGGCGGATTCTTTGGTTTTGTTGGCTGTGGTTGATAGAAACTGAAGCTGAGATGGTCGGCGAACTTTTTTCCTTCCGTGGTTGGCGGCAGATCTAATCGCTATCGCTACTGATAAGACAGAGATCCAATAATGGCACATAATGCTACCTACCTCTACCTCTCTCTCTCTCTCTCTCTCTTACAGGTAGACAATCATTTTTCCCTGGTAATATTCCCAGGTGATTATTGACTTGTCCTTCGTAATGATACATTCAGAATGCCCGCATCCATGTGCTTGTTTAATTACAGCTTTGGAGTAGATACAGAGTGCTGTGCTCGAGGTCATCGAAGCAGCCTTCTATTATTCCTGTTGTATGTTATAGAACTTCCATGATAATAGCACCAATATACCAGATGGTATGATGCTTTCCTAGAGAGTAAAATGCAGAAGGCGTGCTTGGAGTTCCTATACTGACCTGAGTCAGGCTCCTGTCACTGTCGAGAGATGGCACTTGTCGGTGCTTGCCGTGTATTGGTTTACCAAGGCTATTATGGCACTACTGTCCAGTACGCTACTAGATGTTCCTCTATCATTATCAGGAACAAGCGATATAGACATTTGGTACGGACAATTGATACTGGTGGATTAATATACTAGTGTCCTTGTCGGCTATGGCTAGCATCTCCGGGGTATTCTATCCTCCGTCAATTTATATTGAGACACTTTCTCCGGTCATGTGGGCAGAATGACTTTTCTACTTCGCTACTACTGTTCAGGACTGGAGTGGTTCGGCTTTCAGCGACTGAACTGGACTAGATTGAATTCTAAATGCGCCATTAATGATGCTTAAGAGAAACGCTATTCGTGTGGCAAATCGCGCAGTGGATGAGAGCCAGGCATCAGAATTCAAAATGTAGACCAGACCGCAGCCTCTGTTACGGTGCCAGTCGCATGCCTTCATCTTCGAGATTTACCCATAATAACCACGGGAACCAGCGGTTAATGTTATTATAGGGGAGCGATCAATATCTTAGAGAGACCCTCCTGTCGATCAGCTGCGTGTCTGGCATCCATCTCAATGCTCGTTTCACGACTCGTGGGGGCCGTTTTGGTGGTGTAAACCTCCATGTCACTAGGCAGTAATGAGGGCGCACTTAGTACAAACTCTGGGTTGAATCCTTTCAAATCATTAAATCCAAGCCTTCTTGGGGAGTGAGACCCTTAGGCTTGGAGACGCGTAAAGACCAACGAAATCGGCACGGCTCGCCTCTTAGGACGGACTTCTGGTACGGCTTCAAGCCTCTTGTCGGCCCACCGTCCAATAGTCGTCGCTATTGCTGCACATGGGGATGGGTCAATCCAGGGTCCAATAGTCCCAGCGAGCCTGTGGTGACTCGAGACCCCAATCATGTTTGATGGTTCCTAGAACTAACTCATACCAGATGCAGCCCCAGAGGGCAGGGTAGAAGTAGTATTAATTCAGGCGTCCACTTTTCGGCGAAGGTTCTTGGTGCGCAATGATGCACATTTACGCCTCTCGAATTATAAAATGCACATGAGATGACTGATCTTGTACGATTTTCTGTCGAAGAATTGACGGTGGATTGAGGCGGTTGAAGTAGTAGTCCTCGCGAGTTGGTGAGAATTCCAAGTGATACAAGTATCAGCTATGGGCTTCTTATCCGCCCGCAAGGGACGCTCCCCGCAGTCCTACGAATTTGTCCCAACTTCCCTTCCCTCCGACGACCAAGACGACTTGCAACGCGACAAACCAGACCTTCATGTTTCTATCGAGGAATTACCGGCAGACATCTCAATAGACGAATATCAATGTTCGGGCCAGACCCGATCTCGGTTCACATGGAGCCAACGACTGGCTGGGATTTCTTCGCTCTTCTCGTCAAATGAGGAGAAGGTCGAAGATACTCTACCTCTCCTCTCACCAACCACAAAACGTTCAAAACGCTCATATGCTTTGCATAGACGGTTCAAGAATCGCAGGGTGTCCAATTGCCTTCTTTTTACCGTTGCGGGGGTTTTCATCATGCTGTGAGTACTTGTCCTACCCCACCATCACCACCACCCATCCGCGCCCATGACCACTAAATTGTTGTTCGAACCCATACAGAGGGATCATTCAGTTCATCTCGATAGCCTGTGGCATCGTGCTCTCGTTTTTCCCCGACGAATTCGACAAAGCGGCCGGCCATTGGCGCCACGTTCCGGACAACGACCTTTACGCAGACATCACACATTGGCCCACAGATATCTCGCAGGACATCATCCCTGTCGGGTGCCATTCACACAATGACTACTGGCGACGGGTACCCCTGTACTCGGCCTTGCAGGCGGGTTGTGTTGGTGTCGAGGCCGATGTCTGGCTTATTGACGACGAGCTCTACGTCGGCCATACCTCCACGTCCCTCACCACGAAGCGCACCCTCAAGAACATGTACATCGACCCACTGATCAAGATCATTGAACGGCAGAATCCCATCACCCAGTTCCACCCTGCTGTCGATCGACCTCTACATGGCGTCTTCGACACCGACCCTTCTCAGACCCTCATTCTCCTGATCGATTTCAAAACCGATGGAGAAAAGACATGGCAGCGTGTAATGGAGGATTTGTCGCCTCTGCGCGAGCGCGGTTACCTCACCTACTTCAATGGCACCGGCCTGACCAATGGCCCAATCACGGTTGTCGGAACGGGAAATACCCCCTTCAATATGGTCACGGCAAACTCAACCTACCGCGACATCTTCTTCGACGCCCCACTAAACCTCCTGGCCGAGCACGAGGCCAGCACTCCTCCTGCAGATGCTGACGTCGCGCATGACTCGGCGGCCACTGCCCAGCAATCTACCGGAAACGCCGGTCAAGGCCTGTCAGGTATCTCCGCCGGCGACATTGGCCCTGACACCTTCAACTGGACTAACAGCTTCTACGCCTCTGTCTCCTTCAAGAAGTCCATCGGCTATCCCTGGAGGTTCCACCTGACAAACAAGCAGATGGATCTCATCCGGGCGCAGATCCAGGGCGCTCATCGCCGCGGACTCAAGGTGCGTTATTGGGGGTTGCCTAGCTGGCCGCGGAGTCTGAGGAATCACATCTGGAGCGTTCTGGCGCGTGAGGGCGTCGATATTCTGAACGTGGATGACTTGCAGAGCGCCACGAAGCAAGAATGGAAGGTCAAGATTCTTGATTGGTAGGATGTACTCGGTTTTATCGGCAGTCGCACTGGCTTTGGGAGACTGCTGGGCGGTCATCTTAGCCTGACATCGCTGCCACTATCACCTTCAGGTGGTATGATGAATGAGTGTTTGGTTACAGATCTGAGTTTAGAGCTTATATTTTCTGATTGGCGTATTTGCCAGTTCACGGCGTCGGTTCCGGATGTCCAATAGACGATACCTTGGGCTTGGTTTTCAGTTCTGTTTTGTCCGTTCTACATGTATTTTGTTATAGACCCAATACGATTTAGACTTGAAGAACCATATTTCAGAGGATGATCAACGGTGCTTGGACATATCCCAGCTTGAAGTAGATCGTCTCATTGAATGCTTCATACCAATCAATGATATAAATGCGTTGATGCAGGATGATTCAGGGTATCAATATGTGTCTCATCGTAACCTTCAGCGCGGCACTCGCTATGATCGGGTCACGCTGAAGACAAAGTAACAATGAGTACTTTTTAATAGCGGAAAACAAAAGCAGAAGAGAGACGAGGGTCATAGGCACATTAGAGACTCTTCCCCAAACTCTTTGAGAATGGTCCTCTCTTCACGTAAGATACCACCCAGCCAATTCTTGGCCGTCTCAAAGTCATTCGCGCCAAATTTCACAAGGACGAAGCCTCCTCTTACTCGCGCCGCGGTGAAGGTCACTTCCGAGTCCGCATTTGGCGGCATCTCCACGGCCGCAGGGGCAGAGGATGACCAATTCCGCGCCCCGATGCGCGGCTGCGACGTGAACCTATCCATGAAAAATGACGCTAAACCCTCAAACACAGGACCGTACAGAATCAGGGTGCCTATGATCCCGTGGGGTCGCGTACGCTCCCGGATCAAGTTGTTGTGGCTGAAGGTCTCTGAGTCATTTTCCAGACATACTGCGTCGATCTCGTCGTCTAAGATGATCGAGTCGCGGAGGAGTAGCTTCTTCTTGCCTGCGGCGTCGTGTGTCCAGACTTCGTTCTTCCCTTTCCAGAGATGGAAGTCCCAATTCTCGCCTCGTGAGGTGCGGCCCTGCGTCACCCAGTCCAGCACACACAGGCTGCTTCTCTTGTGGTCCTTTGATGTCCCGTCGACGGTGAATGATTGTACCTGCTCGTAGCGGCTGTCCTTGAAGGGCACGGCTGGGTCTGGAAGGTAGCAGAGAGCGGCTTCGCTGGCGATCTGTACATTGACAAGCTGGCGGCTCTTGTCTGTTACTGCCCGTGCTGGTGTTCCCCGCTGGCCCTTGACGCTTGCAGTAGGCTCTGTCTTGAAGATCTTGGTGCTTCCCTGCGGTGTGGTCACAACGAGTCTCGTGCGGGGATCCAACGTAATGGAGACATCAATGTGATCGCCTGGTAGAAGACCTCCACCGTAAGTGAGAAGATAGAGATGAACAGGCCGAGAAGAGCTTGTCAGCCCGGAGGACTGGGGCACGAAGCCGGGGGCGCGTGTGAGCAGCTTCAGTGGATATTTGTAAGTCAAGGTCGTCAGGGTCGGGATCGAAGGAGGAAGGAGAGATAGAACGACTTTGCCTTGACCTGGTTTGGCAATTGACGACTCAAAGGGTGATATGATCGGCATCGTGTCTTATCTTCTTCAACGAGTTCTAGGCCAAGGGGATTAGGATGTAGGGAGATGGGGAAAAGTAGACAGGCTAAGTGGCTGTAACTGCATGATATATCTGTATCTAGACGCAGACAGAGAGGACGCAATTAGAGATGCTGTGCAGAATGGCGTCATGAAGGTTCCTCTCGTGCGCTCCTTCTGGCTCCTGATCTTTTCTGGGGCAGCCAAAGAGCT